CTATTCCCCGGCTAGGTGTATACATATATGCTAGGTTAATGTAAAAGTTTTTTCCCCGAATTTTTTGTAAATATCTCAATAGCGAAACAACCTGATGATTAGCGGTATGCACCATCACCATCCACTACTCGACGCCAACGCTCACGCAGCTTGCCGATTCCTTCCTCCCAAAAGAACGGGGGCTGGGACTTGAAGAAGTCGTCAAGTGCCCTTCTGACCTCATCCTTTGTTTCAAACTTTTTCCGTCCAGAGAGCAATGCAGGTGGATAAACAGCCAGTGATCGCAAGGGCCGAGGTCAGGGCTGTAGGGGGGCTGGGCAATAATCAGCCACACATACTTCTCCAGCCAGGCCTCGGTCGCCTTTGCGCTGCGAGGATTGTGGAAGATAATTTCCGCATCCGGTCCACGAGTACGGTCGACGTCATCTTTCAGTTTCCCCAGCTGAGCGACGTATGTGAAAGCGTCAATCGTCTGTCCTTTCTACCGCAGCTACCAGTGCTCAATGCCTCTTCTGGACCACCAACAGGACAGGAGATAATTCTCGGGGTAAAGATCGACATTCGGGGTGGTTTCTGGTTGTTCTCCTTTGTCGATCCGCTGCCACTTCCTCACAGAGTTATCGTGACCCACTTCTCATCTTCCAATAATCATCGAGTTGAGAAAGTAGAGCACCTTCTAGAAAGTGAGGAAAGAAGTAGATGGCCACTTTCTTCGAGAAGTCGTAAGCGGCTGTTCCGGTGGGACCCATCGACAAAGCTTTGCTACCTCGCCGATGTGTTCTAGTTCACGTACAATCGTTGATTGATTATAGCCGAGCATGGTCGCCATTTCCCTAATGGTTAGGTATGGCTCTTCTTCCACTGTGGAACGTAGTACTTCTAAATCCAACTCCATCGGCCGAAACGACCCCGGAACATCTTCGAGAGAAAAATCTTCTTCCTTGGATTTGGCGAACCAAGTATTCCATGTGCAGTAAAAAATGTCGTCCTCGCCGTATGTTTCCTCTAACTTGGTATGGCCTTTCCTTGCATTCTAGCCGAAATCGTGTGGCAAAACCAGCCTGTGGCGCAGATACATCCTGTACTAAAGGTAATTGTCCCACTGTTGTCGGTATATGCAGAGTGAGTGAGCGGTGGGAAAAAAAAACTCATGCGTCAACTTAATAGTAATGCCCAAAAGAGCATGCTTCCTTCTTTTTCTGCTATGAATTTAATATATCTTTGTGGAACTGTCCCAGATCGGATTAGTTAACATCTGATTTGTTGGATGGTGGAGAAATCAAAGACAGAAAAATCATCTAACAAGAGCTTCGTGGAATGATCTGACCTCGTGAAATCGAAGTGATTTTTATGAGCTTTGAATGCAGCAGATAAATCAACTGCGCCACAGATAACATTACACACATCTAAAACTTTGTTGCTTACTGTTTAGAGTTCCCGCAATTCGGTGTCAGTAGTATATGAACAAATTTGTTGTTCGACAAGAAGCATCATCCATGCCTTTGTAAATTGAGCGAATTTTTCTTTCTAGCTCTCAGCTCTTCTTGCTTCCACGCTTCTTGGTGGCATTGATGTAACTGAACTTGTTAAAGGAGAGGACCGAGTATTCATGCAATTTAGTATGTCAGTGGGTTTTTACGGAAGGAGGGGGGGGTAAGACAGGATTGTGGTCGCTACAGAGCGTATTGTCCTGAGAATTAGCTACACTATTCCTGCGCTGAACTTGGAACACAACAGACGTGCTTCACTTCTAATCGTTTTCTCACTCGACGCAGTCTCTTTGAAGCCATTGGGCAACCCTTTTCTCGGGGGCGTAATGGCCATTTGATCAAATTGCTGTATGGGCCGTTTTTCGACACGATCACGCCACATATGGTTTTTCAGAGCCACATGAGGTTGCATCCGTGGAGAAATTCCAAAAGTTCTCATCGTGAACTGCGCCTCTGGTGATGTTCATAACAGCCGCCTGACTTGATCGCTTCATTGAATGATCGTAATCTTGCCGAAAATTACCGGCCCTGATGAGGCGCGATACGGTGCGTCAACGTCCTAGTGGAAAAATTAATCATTAGTATGCAAAACCATAGTTTATCGACAATAATCTCCAAAAAAGAGTGTACTCTTTTCGAAGGACGTGCCATAGACCGTAGCAAATCCTTGTTCAGGATTTTCACTTGTTACTTCGGATTACGACTTGGTACACATCTAATTCTTCCACCGCCAAGCTATATATTTTCTCTCGCCTCTCCAGAGCATGTTGTAACTCTGCGAGGAAGTGTATTTTCACAAGTTCGACTGCTACGAAACGCTCTCTCAGCAGAGGTATAAGTTCACATCTTTTATTCCCGCTTTCGTGAATGAAATTGATTCAGTTGTCGGCGAATCATGTATCATCACGTCTTTTAGTGATGGCTTTTACTCCTCACCACCCGACGAATAGGCGCTTTAACTTTTGCCTGTCATTATAAAAATCGTAGATTCTAAAAGGTGTTATGATTAGACGACATATAAACAGAAAATTCATTCTCTCGGTCCATTACAAGTGCGGTGAATTAAAATGGCGTCGAATCGTTGCTGGGAGAGTGCTTCAAACAATCGAACTTTAGGCACACTTCACGATAAAAATGGTTTCTGAAGTACCCTACTGGGATAAATCTGTAGCCTCAAGAAGAGTACATGGGACGTTGTCGGGCCGAAAAACGTGCTAGACAGAGTTCCAAAACCGGTATGGCCGACTCGCGTACTATAAGTGGCTGTGTCAGGCCGGCCTTGTTATTTTGCACCAATCTCAATGAAACGTGAGAGCACGGCGAATAGTGCGCTTATGTGAGAGACACTCAAACGAAAGCAGACGGCCATCTCGAACAAGCCCCTTTTCCGCTATTTTTTTGGAGTCTCATATTTTCTGAAATCCGCCGATTTTTGTGCTCTCTTTGCCATCATTGCATATTCGGCATCATGGTTTCCATTATTACACCTAATATACAGTAGCGCCCAAAAGTCGTTGGCCAAATGCTTCTTCAGTTGTACTTTTCAGTCGTAACTCCTTTCNNNNTACTTGATGTAATCATGCGAAATTTCAATGTGTGTAGCATGGGTGTGTTGTGAATATTCACCACTATCAAATAGAAATCTAATCAGTTCCAGATATCCCAAAGGACTTGAACTCAGAATCAGCTGGAAGTTCGAATGACGGCTCTCCTGGAATTTTTTCCTTCTTGTCATGTCTAACGTGTACGAGCGCTAATGCCGATAAGATGCGAATAACTGCGGACGTCAATAGCTTTGCTTTTTGCGAAATCTGCTACTGCAACAAACCCCTGCTCTAGTTATGTGAATATCGCTGCTTTGTAGTCAAATAGTGTTGGATAGTGTGAATTATGCTTTAGTTAGACACATCAAAACTTCGCACGATTTGCTCCACTAAGAAAAAGATTATGAACAAAAAAACATAAGAGCATTTAACCGAAGGCTTTTGAGCGCTACTGTAGATACCTCAAAGTTATCACGAATTGTGCCTTCAAGCAATAAATGAGCAAGTAGCGAACTTAGGGATTTTTTAGAGCAAAAGAAGTCTTTTTTAGATGTACTAACATGTTGAGAGATATCAAATCAGTCGTGCGTAAAGACCATAATGGCGGGTGTTCCGATACAATTTTTTTTCACAGCAAATCTGGTTGCTTAACAACTAAAGGGCGCAAGTCATGAATATCGTAACAAGCCATTCACCCTATTGGTTGTTACAACTGATCAACATCTCAGTGTCGATCTCACTGTAAGCTGGCGTAAGTTAGGTGAGCTATGGATTAGTCAATTGCACTGCACACTGATAAAAGTTGCGTTGTTTTTGAAACAAATACTAATACTAATACATGTATGCATAACAAAACAGCACTTCATTTCCACTATTTTCTGTTCATTCAATTTTTTAAGTCTGTGGTAACATTGGGGGGTTCCAGATTTCGAGACAAGAGGACAGAGATACCGTGATGTGTCCCCAACTGTATGTGGAAATAATGCAGATTTAGGGTACTAATTGGGCTTCACACGCTTACGCGCGCATCACATTTCTACAACCGCTTATCGACGATCTTACTCGAAAGAACATCGAAACTCTTTTCATGTTCCGTATACACCATACTGCTGCTCCCAGACTTCCGCTTAAGTTCTGAAAGTTCTGGAAATCACGCATTAAGATCGAAGCACTCAAGAGTAAAGTGTTCTTTCAAGTGTGTAGCAATCATTTCGCTGTTATTCAACTAGTAATCACGCATCGGAGTGTGCTGGAAAACAGTCGGCAGTGTGTTCGGTGTGCCTGATACCGACAGATGCCAATGCAGAAGATCTCTATCCCACGTTCTCTCTTCTGTGAAGGTCTGATAACTCTGTGACTGAAGTGAACCCAATTTGGTCCATCCTGGGTGAAAAAAAGGAAATATGCCCCAGTCAATGAAGTCACATAAGAATCCGTACTTGTTGGGAGATTAGTATAAACAGTATCGATAGACTCCCTGATTCATAACTGCTTCTTCGCCGCGCCCACATGACATTTCGCACTCTTCAACGCGCCTATGTGACTTGATAGTGTGTGTCGTAGGAAAGTTTACTAGCTCTTTCTCATTATTTCGCAGTGAAGGTCACATACACGCACCCACGATGTTTTCGCTCACTTAGTTCAGCCGTATATTTTAGAAGATTATCATTTAAATGACGGCCCGTGTGCCGCCACAAATCTAGTGAGCAAATCTTCATATTGTTCGCTTTGGAAAGAGAGCTTGCTTAAGTCGCATTTGAAATGTTTCAATGTCGCATTTATCCAGCCTTGTTGGAGCTTGGCTGCGCGTTGAGCCTTGCAGCACAGCTGCTCCACCTTCTGCTGAAATGGTGTCTCCTTACATCACATCAGTCCACAAGGTTTTATTATTCCTGAGCTGCCTTAATGCAAATCTCACCATTTAGTTTCTGCTACTTATATACTACTTATCTCCTTCTTCAGGGTTATCTATTCAGCCAGGATCACCGTATGTGAACAGCTCGACATCCATAAGTTAGCGATTAAGTTATGGAATATTCGGGTATCAGAACGGAATACCATAACCAGCCGTTTACATTAGAGTATTCAGGACGAGTTTCGAGAATCATCATTCCCAGATATCAACTGTATAGTCACAAAAAAGTAGAGCAGTCACATTTGTTTTCTTTTCTGATCTTTTCTTTATTGTTAATTTTTGGATTTGCAGTATCTCTAGAATTCCTGAAGTCCCAGAGGTAATGCAGACTGACACTGGGGGACCGATAGATAAATCATGACCGAGTGAATATCGACTAACCTCCACGAAGCATTGTGTGTGCTCTAGACGCATCGAATACGGCGCTGCGATTCTGAATGGAAGTCGATTGCGAGGCTTAATCCCAAAAGCGGGATTGATCAACGACAGAAACGTCTAACCTTTTTAGCGATAGAATTCGTTGGGTAAAGCATCTCCGAAACAAAGAATATAAAGGCATTTCCTAGTGGTTGCAATGACACCGTTTCCGATGACATCGTTTCATTAAACCGTTTCCTTTCGGAAGTTTTGAAAAATGTTGACAGAACTAAGCATATTTAGTGTCTTTTCAAAAATGAGATTCGCCATACGGAATAGTCCCACAACGTTTGATATCATTGATATGTTACAGAATTAGAAAGTTTTGAAAATTTTTCTTTTCGCAAACAGGAGCGATAGGGCTGCTGGGTCATTTCAGGTCCTTGTATAATCTTTGTAGCTTACCAGGGAAGGATCCCAAGTCGAAGTGGCCATTTGAAATGAGACCTACACTACTGGACGTAATTTCGGATGCTGAGTTCGAATTTGCTTTCCAAATTTGCCGAGCGTTTCTCTGAACGGAGTTATGAGGGTGCTTTCAGTGAGCTTATCATAAGAAAACTTAAATTACATGGAAGTGCCTGACTTCTCAACGACGCTCCATGGGCGAAGGGCTAGGGTTCGGGCTTTGAGGGAACGGAATTTTTGCATTATATAGAATTTTTCCCTAAGGGCCAGAAAATACTCTCATGGTGATTTTCTCACGTTTTATGACCTTTTAGTGCTTTCCTGATACCTTCTCCTTCCTACCTACCTGTTCCCGAGTGGGAGTCTTCTCCGTGCGCAAAATTTGATGGGCCGGGCGAGTAAAATGTATATAAGGAGCAATGATGATGCTGGAGAGGGTATTGATGCTATTATAGATTGGGTGCGATAGTGCGTAGCAGCTCCGAACTCAACAGCACCGGCACTGTTGATAGTGGGTCTCGAAGAACAGAAAGCTATTCAGCACGTCTTACATCCACAGCAGCAGGTGGAGGGAATAACACCCTGCTCGAGGCTACCAGGAGGCTGATACAGCCGATAAAAGCTTATTTCTTTTTCCTTCTCTAAATATGATTCAACGCACCGCCTCATATGGAACAGCTCATGATCTCAACTTTTGCAAGCACACACGAGACCCATTCTTCGCTTACTATCGCTTGTCTACTTTCATTTCTGTGCGGCTAGTTTTAAGCAATTCCTCTTTTATTCACAGTATGCCGCCGGCTACTTAAGAACTCACCCGGGTGATTTTGGGACGCCTACGCAATTCTGTTTTCCTCCTGATTTGGGGTGAGTAAGTGTAAAGCAATAAGCTGTGATGAGTTCTTTTTTCATTGGTTGCTCCCATTGTGAGAAGCTTCTTTGTTTCAAGTGTTCGTGCAAGAGCATCGCATTTGTTCATAAAGTGGCAAAAGTTATCCCAATGTGAATGTAGAGGATGCAAGTAAATCTGAAGTGTTACTTTGTGCGTATGAATATCAGCAAAAGCATTAAAAAGTCATAAAACGTGATAAATTCAGCATGAGAGTATTTTCTAATCCCTAAGGGAAAAATTCTATATGGTGCAAAAATTCCGTCCACCACAAAACCCGAACCCTAGCCTCTCGCCCATGAAGCGTCACGCATACCACTGCACCAAGCCGCCGTTGAGAAGTTAGGCACATCCATGTAATTTAAGTTTTCTTATGTTAAGCTCCCTGGAACCACCCTCATAACTCCGTTCAGAGAAACGCTCGGCAAATTTGCAGAGCAAATTCGAACTCAGCATCCGAAAATACGTCCAGTAGTGTAGGTCTCATTTTAAATGGCCACTTCGACTTGGGATCCTTCACTGCTTAGAAGTACCTCTCTTACTAAATTTAATTTCAGTTTTCGAGATGCGTGCAAATATTAACGGCTCAAAACCGAAAAGCAGCAACGAAGGGAGGTCAAGGAAACACTCAAAATCTACCAAGGGCAGTAAACTATGGGAGTTTATTCGGGACGCTCTGAAGGATCCTCTCACATGTCCATCAATCGTTCGGTATGTCAATTTTTGAAGTGGTTAGATGCGCATTCTTTACTATCAGAGTCCTACTGCAGATGGGAGGATCCCATAGAGGGAGTATTCCGGATAGTCGAATCAGAAAAACTTGCACGACTTTGGGGTGAGCGGAAAAACAACACTAAGATGACTTACGAGAAGCTGAGCAGAGCAATGAGGTATGTCCATGACAGGGCCCTTGGCCATTCCATTATTAGTCACGGTCATTCCAATGCACTGTCACTCTGGAGGAGTCACATGAAAAACAAAACTGTAATATCTTTGATTATTCGACGTCTTCAAAAACTAAATTACTCGGCGTTAATTTCCTGCAGGTGATGTTAAAAAATCGCCTCGGTCGCTGTTTCTTGAAGTTTTTGTTTGTTTACCATACAAGGGTGTAATCTTATTTCATAGAAATTCTATTTCTCTGATCTGTTGAAGCCAGCTGTATCGATCTTTAGGTTGAGTGCTGTTAGGTTCGCTTTTTCAGTATCCAATAAAAACAGATAACGATGAGAGGTATTGCAGATGGATCTCCGAATAGCACAACTCCCAAAAATGATATTATATTATGAACCACATATAGAAGGTAATTTCTGGTAACCGTCGATGATTCACCAGTTTTTGTTCCTAGCACAAGTATAGCATCCTGCTTTATTATTTTAGTCATTTCCTAATAACACCATTGAAGACATGCAGCACCGGTCGAAGTTTGCCGGAACGCTTTTTTGTGAATCGCTTTTCTACTGCTTGGCCGATTTGCTTCATATTTTGATGTGATTTGTCGTCCAATATAACGAACAAATTGCACCACATGTACTCCCGAGCAGTGCCTAGCGCGTGATCTCGTTCGATATTCTCTGCAACTGCTAAGTTTCCCCCTGTATTATCATTATTATACGGTGCGTCGCCAAATGATACAGCCACCCCTAATTTCCCCAAAAACTCACAGTATTTGATGTTTCTGAAAAACTGCCAAAGTAAAAAATGTGCCAAACTTGAATTGCAATTCGCACATTATCACCAAATTCCAGCTCGAAAACACAAACCTTTTTTTGGTCAATTTTTCAATAAAGGGGCTTTTCCAACGTCGCCAAATGATACAGCCACTTCATGTCTTCGTGTCGTTTTTTAGTTCAACGCAACGAAGTTGCTTCGGTTATGTAATGTTCTTCATTTTCAGACAATAGGAAGAGAAATTTGCTTTTGAAATTCGAATAAGGTCAAATCCTTGCGAAAAAGGAGCAGGCACTGGCAAATCGCAGAAGAGCGCGAGATTTGGGTCGATGTCACACAGTTTTGGATAATTTCGTCAAAGTCCTGAAGTCTATGATAAACAAGAAGAAGTGCTGAACGTCCTTCGCTGCTTTCCGACAGAGACAAGCGCCGTACTTTGAGAGAAGCGTCGAACTCCACCAAGGCTTGTATGGAAATCCGTTCGTTTCTGTCTCAAAAAGCACTGTTTGGAAGTTGATCAGAAAGTCCAAGTTCATTTTCTAGCGGGAAATGCGTAAGGCGTCCTTCATGACAAAAAGACATCGAGGAAATCGGGTCGCTTTCGCCAGACGGTGCAGCCGAACCGAGTGTTCTTCATGTGATGACATTTGACCTTCCTTCTCTTGATAATTTTTGTTCTTCTAGTCGGTTTTTCCGATGAAAAGAAGTTCAATTGTGATGGTCTAGACGGAAACCGATTTCACTGGCACGATCTGAGGGAAAAGGAACTTCAGTTTTCTGGACGCAACTTCAAGGGATGAGAGTAATGGTTTGAGCCGCAATTTCATCGAGTAGGCTTACCCGTTTATGATTTGTATCAAAGGAGATGAGCTCATCCTTTTGTCGAACTGTTATGCGCCGTGCACTTCTCCCTTCTTGGCGTCAGAGTCTGCACCGAAACCTTATTTTTATGCAAGGTAACGCTCCAATTAACGTCAGCAGGAGCACCCAAGCTTGGTTCTCTCGGCACTTCTGCCCTGACCGGCGAACAGCTCCGGTTTGAATTCGATGGGAAATGTATGTGGCTTCATGGTGCGGAAGATTCACGCCGTTAACAAGCAACTCCGAGGCGTCAAGGAGTTGAAAAAAGCGATAATCGAAGCATGGCACCAAGCTGCCCAGGAGCTGACCGGTAATTTTTTTTCGAACCTAGACCACCGTATTATCAAAGTAATTCGAAAGAATGGTGGGTCAGCTGATTATTGGCTTTGCAACTTTCTCTCCCTGTTGTATGTTTGTTGTTTAATAAATTAATTTTATTAGTGGCTGTATCATTTGGCGACGTTGGAAAAGCACGCTTTACTGAAAAATTGACCAAAAAAATGATTGTGTTTTCGAGCTGGAATTTGGTGATAATGTGCGATTGCAATTCAAATTTGACACATTTTTTACTTTGGCAGTTTTTCAGAAACGTCGTATACAGTGAGTTTTTGGGAATATCAGAGGTGGCTGTATCATTTGGCGACGCACTGTAGTGTACGCTCTTCTCGCGAAATTGGAACACTTATTGCACCACATGTACTCCCGAGCAGTGCCTAGCGCTTGATCTCGTTCGATATTTTTTGCAACTGCCAACTTCCCCCTGTATTGTTATTGTAGTGTGCGCTCTTTTCGCGAAATCGGAACATCTTTTCTGCGTAAACGACTCACCTCGATGGTTTAGAGGGCTGAAACTTCGAAAGTCACATGTAAAATTACCAGTCGGGCCGCTCGGCTTCCCTTCTTCTTATGATAGAGTTGTGATAATCCGCAAATCGGCCCCTTCTTATTTGGAGCGAGTATACTTATCGAAAAACGAAATTTGATAGAGGACTAACAAGGCATGCAAGTGGTACTTTTTATTGTAAAATGTGTCGATGCTTATGCCTTTATTAGATGTCTCGTTATGGTGCGGTTCATTTTAAATATAATGACCCATTGAAGATCAACTGTTGGGCACCCAAAGCCTCGAATGGTACTCACAAATGTTGTTAAGTCACAACAACACCATTATCAAATGTCTTTATCAGTGCTCCTTTTCTCTAAGAATGTATCATGAGATGCGAATCCTGCTTTGTTTCCGATTGGATAAGTTTGATGTCAAGAATGATGTCGGAGCAAAGAGAAACCGTGATCCTCCATTGAATCACAAATATCGCTAAGTAGAGGTCGTAATCTAGTAGCAAGAAATAAACCAATTTTCATCTCATAATTTAGTACCGTTGATCGATTCTTGTCACTGCACTTACCATTCTCGTCAAATGAAGCATATCAGAGAGTATCAGAGAAAATCCACCATAAGTGTTCCCATCTGCTAACTTGAACTCTCCAAGTCCGCGGTATAGGAGTTATGGATTTCCGCTCAAACGTTTATTCCGCGCAAACCCCGCCTCACGTGGGCGGATTCCGGTCCTGCAACCCACCATAAGCATTGGTATCCTGTACTCATACCATGTTTACACTCTTTAAGGCAAAACTGACAATTTTGACAAACCCCGCCCCTTCTGCGGGAGTCCGGGCCTGCCATCTACCATAAGTGCTCTTATCCTGCCGGCTGTGCTCCTACCAACCCTGAACGCTCTAGGTACACGGAAATTGGAGTTATGGATTTCGTGCAAACATTTATTTCGCGCAAACCTATAAACGAAACTAAACAAGATCAATTTAAAAGATATTCCCCATTACTATCAATGACTTGTTGCCTACGTTTCCGCAAAGAATGGATTCTTCTCCTGCAGAACTCGGCCGGCTGTGACTCAAAGTAGTTGGACACCCTGAGTTGGACTTTTTCGCGGTTTTCAAATTTTCTCTCGGCCAAGGAGTGCTGCAGTGACCGGAGCAGATGGTCATCGGATGGAGTCAGGTCTGGGCTGTGAGACGGATGAGGCAGGATTTCCCAACCCCTATTCCTCAATTTTTTTCCAAGGTGGTCTTCGCAACATGTGGACAAGCGTTGTCGAGGAGGAATTTTGTCGACGTCGTTTCGACACCTTGACGGCGCAGTGCTTGATCTGCGCGGTTCAATTGGTCTTCGTAACTGTCCGCCGTAACCGTTTGACCCGAATCCAGGACTTCACAGTACACTAAACCTTTGCTGTTCCACCAAACACAGAGCATCACCTTTCTGCCGTGTATATCCGGTTTCGGAGTGGGTTTTGAAGTGTCGCCGGCGTCTAACCACTGCCTTTTTCGTGTTGTGTTGTCGAAGCAGATCCATTTCCCGTCTGATGTAATAATAGAGTTGAAAAAACCGCTGTTTTCGCTGTTTTTGGAGCGATGAAGAAGAATTTCGGCCATCGCCACTTGTGTTGCCTGGTCTGCGTCGCTCAGCTGGTGCGGTACCCATTTTCTACACCTGTTCGTCTTGCCAATTGCCAGCAAATG